AAATGTTTCCTGACCCATGTAAGGTTTTCTTTGTCTCACTGGCAGGTTTTCATACAAACGTGAATCTGAAAAACTTTCAATTCTTGTAGTTCCTAGAGCTCTTCCCATGTGCATGTTTTGTGGATGCTGGCCACTGAGGGGTACAGGACAGTATTCACTTGGACAACTCGAGCGGGCTCCAATTACTGGGTGTTGGAAATGTGGTGCCATACAAGAAGCTGAAGTTTTGTGCAGTGGTTTTTGCTCTTCTTGTCCATAACTTTGTACTCTTGTTACAGGATCATGATAACTATGAAGAAAGGGCTGATGTCGATTATGATATTGGTGACATTTAAGATTTTCTTCAAGCACTGTAACTGGAGAACTTGGGTAGGCTCGTTCATTATAGCCAACGTACGAATCGCTGCTACCACAGCTGATACTACCTTCACTACTACAGTCAGAACCTACGTGGTTTAGTCTGTATTCTTTATCTACAGAAAATTGATCAGGGCTGTGTGTACCAGATACACCAAGATTATGATATGGATTCATCATAGAATAATATCCTCCATCAACAGGAGAGTCACATTTTGGATGCTGATTATAGGAAGTGTGTGTTCCATGGCTATTGTTCACCAGAATTGTCGAGTACTGTGCTGGCACCCCTGGATCTTGCGTCAAAAGGTGCATTCCAGAACCTGATACTGCACAACCTTGGACCTTTGCGGCTGACGGATTTGATGCACTAACAAGAGAAGGCACAGACCTGGTTTCCAATCTGGTTTTATTGCTGAGTTTTTCTTCAACCTCGTTATAAAGAGGGGTTTGTATACTTGGGTCAGACTGTCTTTTGGGAGCTGTACATTTGCCATCAAACATACCCTCAGTCTTGGTACTAGTTGGAACACTGTTGCTCTTCACCAAACCTCCTTCATTAGTGGTTTTCATTATTGAGTTCTTTGCACTAGCACGAAGTTCATCAGCCACAGAACGTTGAGGCTGTGTACCTCGTTCTGGGTGGTAGTATTTACATTTGTGGCCATAAGTGCACTTTTTTCCTGTTGAAAACACGAAAGTGGATTTTAAATAAATGCTGCCAAACAAACATGCTACTTAGTTATTAAAATCCAGGAGTTAAACTTGAATGCATTTGTGGGCTAGTCAGACAATTACAAATAAGAGTTCCAATACATAAAAAATACTCAAACTATTCACGTGATAACATACAGTTCAGCATCAATTATTTGACTGAGAATTAGATCCACACCTGATCACTCTTCTGCAGTGGTCCAATTGTCAATTTTGGTTTTCTCTATTTTGTGATAATATTTATCTGAGGGGATCCTAATTTGCAATGCATTACATGTCATCAGTGTAGAAGGACATATACACAAATGTGAAAAAGGTATAATTGTGGCAGGTATAAATTATTCTACATTCCAGTACTGGAAAATTTGGTGGTCACTGTACATTTAAGTGTCCTCCATGAAGGAGTTACTTAATTGCTCCCAACTAAAATATATTCCAGAAAGGGAGGCAGATTGTACATTAAAAAAAAAAGGGGGGGGGGGGTTGCAGGGCATTAAGAAAAGGCATCCATGGCTAAGCAAGGAAGGCCAAGAACAAAAACTAAGGCATACCATATTGCAGAGGTGGTGGCCCTTTGGAAGACCAGGAAACTTCTAAAAGGAGAATGGGTTACTAAAAATTTTATAAAAAAGAGCAAAGGTAAATTATGAAACAAAACTGCCACAAAATCTAAAAACAGATAGCAAAAGCTTCTACAAGTTTTTGAAAGGAAAGAAAGTAGCTAAATTAAATGCTGGTCCCTTGGAGGATGAAACTGGGGAGTCAATAGTGGGGAACACAAATGGTGGAGTCACTAAATCAATATTTTGCATCAGTTTTCATAATGAAGGACACTAGTACCATTCCAATTGCAAAACAGAGGTTATAGAAAGGAAGGCTTTTAGAACAGTCACCACTAGGGGAAAAGTACTCAGTACTACAGACCTGTTAAATTAATGTGTCAACAGGAAATTATTTGAATCCATTATTCAGGAAGCAATAATAGGATATTTAGAAAGTCAAAAAGCAATCCGTTAGAGACAATATGGTTTTATGAAGGGTAAATTATGTTTGACTAACTTGCTAGAGTTCTTTGAGGATGGGACAAGGCGGATAATGGGGTCCTGTAAATGTTATATATTTGGATTTTCAGAAGGCATTTGATAAGTTAAAAAACAAAAAGTTAATATTAAAAAGATCAGCCAAGGTTAGTTTAATTAACTTGGACAGAGGATTGGCTAACCAACAAAAAGTAGAGAGCCGTGATAAATTGGTCTGCTTTTGGTTGGCAAGACGTAACTAGTGGGGTGCCACAGGGTTTGGTCCTCAGGCTCCAACTATACATCATCTGTATTAATGACTTGAATACACGGATAGAAATTACTATAGCCAAATGACACTAAAATAAGTAGGTGAGTTGCAATGAAGAAATAAGATTTACAAATGGAGATGGATAGGTTAGATGAATAGGCCAAAACTTGGCCAGGTGACATGTAGCATGGCTAAGTGAGCAGTTTTTCATTTTGGTCAGAGGAATAGAAAGGGAACTTTTATCTAAAAGAAGGAGAAATTTCAGTGTTTCTGTGCGGAGAGAACTGGGTGCCCTCGTGCATTAATCACATATTATGTTGGTACAGCAGGTAATAAGGAAGGCAAATGGAGTTTTGACATTTAATCGCTGAAGAAAGAGTGTAAAAGTAGCTAAGTGTTGCTGGAACTGTACAGGCATAGGCGAGACCCGGAATACTCAACCATTTTGGTCCCCTTACTTGAAGATGTGAAGAGACGTATAATTCTCTTTACAGTCAAGGCTCATCAATTCAAAGCGTACTTTTTGTTTCTACATGTTTTTGGGCAGTAGCCAAACTACAAGTACATGCTATCCTGTTGATTTTTCATTATGAAAAGGTTTCACCACTCTCCTTGGAGAATACTACCCAAATGTCATTGTGAAATTCTGACATAGCACAAATGTATATCTGAACATCAATTTACCATATGGACATGGCTGCTTCTTATGTTCTGGTACAACCGGCCGCTTCCTCAGAAAGTTATCCAAGCTGGGTCCGTGGCGACCCAAAGGGTCATCAGGTGGCATGAATCTGAAATTAAATCGAAAGCATGTGAGTACTATCTACACAAAATTATATTATATTACTACTAACCACTCAGTAATAATTTGGACCTCTACTAACAAACCCATTCCAACATTCAGTGAGATTGTGGCTGATGTTCTTCCTTGCAACCCTTGATGTTTTACTGTGTAGAAATCCATCAATTGTAATCTTGAACATAGTCAAATGAGTGCACCTCACAACCCTCTGGATCAGAATTCTGAAAGCTTCCCACCCCTCCAAACCCAGTTCCAGACCACTCAGCCAAGGCAAACATTCTTCCTGCATCTACCCTATCAATCCCTATAAAAGAAGTTTGCATTTTGGTACAAGGATGAACAGAGGATAAGAGGGATCCTGGTGTACATGTCCATAGATTCTTTAATGCAGCAGGACTAGAGAAGGTGGTTAAGGCATATGGGATCTTTGTCCATTTCTTTAAAATCAAGGCGCTGAATAGAACAGCAAGGAGGCTATGATGGAGTTGTACATGACATCAGTTAGGCCACAGCTGGAGTGGTGTGCGCAGTTCTGGTTGCCACACTACGGAAAGGATGTGATTGCACTACTGAGAGTGTAGAAGAGATTCGCCAGGAGGTTGCTTGGGCTGGAGCAATTTAGCTAGGAAGACTAGGTTGGCTGGGGTTATTTTCCTCAGAGCAACGAAGCCCAAGGGGGAATTTGACTGAGATGTGCAATGTTTCGAGGGGAATATGGGCAGCTTAGATAGGGAAAATAAGGAATAACTGGTAACACAATTGTGCAAAGCCCCTTGGGGATGAGCAACCATAATAATGGTGAAATTCCTCATTAAGATGGGGAGTGACGTAGCTGTTTCTCAGACTAGGGTCTGGATCTAAATAGAGAAAATTATGATGGCACGAGGCAACAGTTGGATATGATAGATTGTCCCTTTAAGTAAAAAAGTTTCCCAGTGTTGGAAAGGCAGTGGCAAACATTTAAAAAGAGTGTATAGGTGAACTGTAACAACAATTCATTCCTGTTTGCCACAGAAGTAAAATAGGAAAGGTGGCCAAACCATGGCTTAAAGGAAATTTCAGATAGTATTAGATCGAAGGAAGAAGTATACAAATTGGCCAGAAAATAAAACCGATCTGAGGAGTGGGAGCAGTTTAGAATGCAGTAAAGGAAGACAAAGGGATTGATTAAGAAAGGAGCAATACTGTATGAGAATAAGCTTGTGGGGAACATAAAAACTAACCAAAATTTTCTCTAGTTATGAAGAGAAAAAAAAACAACTTTGTAAAGACAAATGTAGATTTCAGAGTCAGAAGCAAGGGAACTATAACAGGGAACAAAGAAATGGCTGACAAACATCAAGGACAAAATTCCCTTTGAGATTCCAGCCTCCTTCCATTGAAGAGATGCTCTATACTTCTGCTTTTGACCTCAGCTTTCTCCAGATCATATTCCATCTGCAAATTCTGACCACTGATTTAGTCTCTCCAAAATTCTCTTTAGTGTCTTGGCATTCTTCTCAACTCCCACACCCAGCTACTTACGTCATCTGAAAACCTGGAACAGTTACATTTAATTCCCACATCTAAGTCATTGATATAGATTGTGAATAGCTGGGACCACAAGCACTGATGTTTGTGGTACCCCAATAAATCAGCCTTCCAACCTGAAAGCGACCCTTGTTTTGATATTGTTTTCTGTCCATTAACCAGTTATTAATCCATGCCAATGTATTCCTACATTCCCATGTGCTCTAGTTTTAATTTACCCACCTTGTGTGGGATTTCATCAAAAGCCTTCTGAAAATCTAAATAGTCAAAAATGGACCAATAGGTTTCCTCTTTATCTATTTCGCTTGTTAAATTCTTAAACTCCAACAAGCTTGGCAAATGTGCTTTCCTTTTCACATCCCTTATTGTAATTGTAGCATGTTTCTGGTGACTAACTTTAGGCTAGAAGGGTTGGTAGTTCCCAATTTTCTTTCTCTCCCCTTTCATAAGTAATTGGGCTATTTTTGCCACCTTTCAATTTGCAAAAACCTTTCAGAGTCGAATGAAATTTTCCAATATGACCACCAATCTCAATAATCATCTCTTTCAACACGCTGGGGTGCCGACCTTCTGTTCAGAGACTTCTGTAGCACTTTTTAAAAAAAAAAACAAACTAGTATTAATATCCAGCAGTTCCTCATTTATTCTAGTGCTTAGACTCTCCATTATTTCTGGAACTTTTTGATATATTCCTCTGGGAAACAAACACAATGTATTGGTTTAATTTCTCCACCATTTTCTTATGCCCCCCATTATAAATTCTTTTGTTTTGCTTGTAATGGACTCATTTATTTTTGCTAATCTTTTCCTTTTTACATACTACAGAAGTTTTTAATATTTTTATGCTTCCCATTCATTTACTCTAATATTCTGCCTTTTAAAATTTTTTTTTGGTCTTCCTTTGCATAATTCTATATTAATCCCAATCATTTTTTTGGCAACTTTATAGGCTTCTCTTAGATCCAAGCTACAGTTGGAACATTTATCTTGCAGAGTTGTGTATTAAAGGAATATATTTTTATCTTAGACAATGGTAGCTATTGTCTGACTATAATAATTCCTTTTAACACAGATCTCCTATTTTACCGTATCCAATTTGCCCCTGATTTTTGTTTTGGTTTACACACGACTCCAAGAAACAGAAGGTCTTATACAGGTCAGAGCAATGGGAACAAGATTCATGGCAGAATCGGAGGTCAAGACCAACAATGTCCATCTTCACATTGAGAGCATCTCAATCCATCTGCTATGCTTTTGACAAGTGGCGTGATTAATTTCCTGCTAGGTGACAGTGAGTTGCCAATTAAGGGGAATTATTGTCTGTTAAACATCTTGTAAACAAACTAACTTAGCTCATTAACATTCAGCTACATACATTACCAAATTCACCAAATTAGCTAGACATCGTGAAAATGCAACATGGAAACTATAGCAGGTTCCTGGCAAATTCAGCTTGCAACTTGCTCTGAAGGACTTCTGGTGCTACATGCAACCAACCTACATCACAAAGCATGATGCATGGGGACCAGTTGCAAGTACACCTCGTCTATGCACATTGGCACATGCTGACCCCATGGGACCATCACGCCAACTCCTAATACATTGGCAGTGCACTCTGGAAGCACAGACTTGCATTGAAGGAAGCACCAACAAACAGCGTGAAAGACTGCTGCAAGGATATTGTGCATACATGGACAAAGACCTAGCTCATAGAATGGACCAGGCTGCATCTCAAGGCTACTCACTCACTCTCCTAGGGCTTGTCCATTTAGCGCTTACCTGCATGCTCACAGCATCCATGCCTTACCTTGCCTCGCCAGTTAATGTAGTCACACAGCCCAGAAGCTTGCCTTGCTGGTCAGCAGAGCTCAGTTAAGGGAGCATGCATCTTGCTGAAAGGCAACATGCTGCATCAATCTCATATGTGCAGCATACAGGCAGGCATGTCTCAAAGTCTCAAGGTCATGAAGGCATGGGTACAGCAAGGCAAAGGCAGCCTCCTCCACCAATTTAGGGGATAGGCCATAATTAAGCATCTAGGCAAGGTGATTTTGGTGAAGGGGTCAGTGCCTCTGCAATCCGAGAGTGTGTCATGATCAGCTATGTGGCTTCATTGTGGCCAATCTGGTGGTAGGGCTAATGTAGCTGGGCAGATGAAATGATACCTAAGTCCAGTGCTGTCTAATTTGGCTGCTCAAGGAAGTGGGCCACAGTCAGTCTGTAGGCCCTCTCTGCAGAAACCAAGGGGAATGAGTGGAGGGAAAAAAGGGAAGATGAAGGTGGTGGCTGGGGAGGTGCTATCACGAGAGAAAGTATTGCAAAAGTTGTTCAAGATTTCCAGCTGCTGGATGAAAACAGATGTGAAGGTGGGGGGGGCAAGTGTTCATAAGAGGGTGGGGGAAGATACAGTAAAGCATGAAGGACAAGGAAGTCATGTGGGAGGAGGTTTGCCCTCTGTCAGGAGCACCTTGGCTTAAGGTTTGGCGGGTGGGTTGGGGTTGGGCAGGGTAGTGCAAGGTAGGACCATATTTGGTCCTATCACCTCATATTCCAGGTTGGTTGGGGACCTGAGGAGGTATAAAGTCTACAGGGCTAACACTAAAAGTAAATCAGGAAGGGGTTTGGACATTTTGGGGGCACACCGAAACGTTGGGACTGGCTGAAGAGTTTGACCTATCATGCTGGAAACTGAAAGTGCACAAAAGGGGAAGAGAATGGTTGTGACTATTGTGAATTCACAGCTGTAGGTGATTCGACTTTTGAGGCAAGGGGCCACAGCACTCCAAGATATTACGGCTTTTAAAAGAGAAAGAACATTGCACATAAAACCATTACTGTACAGAACACAGAGCTATGTGGTGCCTAATCCTTAACCAAGCTAATGCAGTGTTTGCGTTGCACCTCCCTGTCCCAGACATCGCTGATCAACTCATTCACACCAACACTTTCACAGCCTCAGAGGCCAAAAAAAAAGTAGGGATATTGGAGGAGAATCCACAATATCAGCAGCATCCATTGCCCTTTATACACCTTATTCCTCTTGCTTCCAGATGATGCAGCAAGGTCTCACCACAGATGTATGAAGATGCAGGGAGAAAAGAGCATGGCATCCTGGCACAGCAGACAAGGTCATTCATTTTCCTACAGAACTGCTGGATTTGGGAAAATGATTCCTTTCTTTTGTATGACTCCCTCCATCATGACCTCCAGTCCTTGTCAGAAATTCGCGACATCATCTTTCTCTTCCCAATATCTTCAGATTCTGTCCATCAATAAGCATGGCACCTGCAGAATGCCTATCCTCATCCTGATTCAGGCCTTTTAAAGGATGGCATGGGTGCAAGTAATGCTAGTCTTTTAGCGGATATCTGCTGAGTGGTGAGTTATTCTGGGAAGGTTGCATGGTAGGATGGGGACAGAAATCAGACATGACGGGTGCCACAGGGACAGGATATGGTGATATGGTGAGTTTGACAACAGTGACAAATCTTGTTAGGCTTCACAGCAGTGACCAATCCAAAAAACTCATGGAACTCCAACTTAAATCAAAAAAAGGTGGAGATTCAGCCTCGAGTTTGAAAGATCTAACTGAATCAGAGAAGTATGTACAATGCTATTATAGTATGGCCAATATTTCCCCCAATCTCGTTTATTGAAAGGTCAAGTTGTTCCTTCTCACAGCACAATGCTAGATCTAAAAAATAGTGCATTCCCTAAATTGGGTTCTTCATTATTACTTCTCTAGAAAACCATTTTGTAATCATTCCAAGAATTCATCCTCCATAAAATGGATACTAATTATCATCGTAATCTTGTTACACAGACCTAATTTCCTGATTCAACCAGTGGTTTATTATCACTGCTGTTCGTTCTATGAATGACATTTACTAGAAGTTTTCTGCCCCTTGATGCATCTTATTTAGTCAAACTGATTCTACATCTTGAAATTTAGAACTAAAGTAATCCGTCACTACAGTACTAATGGAGAAGTCATCAGAACTACCTCACTATGTCATGCCTGTTTCCTGTCCTTCCTGCATCTCATACCCTTGGATATTCAGGTCTAGGTTTGGTTTCTTTGTAGCCAATACAGAAAGGTGGCTTACACATCATGTGAATTTCTATTTGAACTGATAATTTATCCGTTTTCGGGTGAATGCTGTGGGTATTCAAATGCGCGGCACATAATTCAGCTTTCTGTAAACAGTCCTATCTGCTGACACACTAAGTTTGCAGTTGCTGCTTACCATAATCTGATTATCACTATCATGATTGTTATCTTGATCTTCTGCATTGCCATTTCCCTTTAATTTAAATCAATCTTCTCCAATATGATATCCTTCTAAAGCTCTCTACTTCCCTGGTGGCATTATTTGCTACAATAGTGATCCCAGTATGATTCAGTTGAGTCTATTCCAATAGTATAACTCAAATATTCCCAGTACCAGTGCCCCATAAATTATAACCTGCTTCTCAATACCAGTCTTTGATGTGAATACTCACTTGTCATTAACAAAAGAATACATAAGCAATCTTTCATCTATGAATTTTTTCCATTCTGGCTTTTCATTTTGCAAATCCCTGTAGTTATCATTTGACACAATGATGCCATCGGATTCATAAGCCAATTTCACTATGAAGCGATCATCATAGCAAACCACTCTTCGCCCTTGTACCCGCCGGGATGGTGTGAAGACTAGAATTTTATCCTTTTCCAACTTGCGCAGGATTTCTTGATCTGTGAAAATAAAACATTTTGCATTTACTGAATCATTACATCACTGATTTCTAGCTTTGAGGCGTAATTTAGGATTTTGATTGCCATGAGATCATTTAGTTTCCTAGGTTTACAGTAGCAGACTTCAACCAGCATTCTTTTGAACTGTTAAATACAATTAAATACGTGCTCAAAGAATGGAATTGTAGTTTGTTTTGGGGGTGAAAGAGGAAAAGGCAGGAACTTAAGTCAATTTTCAACACCAAATACGTTCACTTAAAAGAATAAGAACCCTGTGGAAGAAGTGTTCCAACTGTGGTACAAATTAATTTACAACAGGGCTACATGGTTCCATTTTACAAGAAGGGTGGTAGAGATAGATCAGGGAACTATAGATCAGTCAGTCTCAGTGGGAGGGAAACTATGGGAGAAAACAGCGAAGGGGAAAATTAATCTCCATTTAGAGAGGCAAGGTTTGATCAAGGATAGTGAGCATGACTCTGTCAGAGGGAGGTCATGCCTAACAGATTGGGTGGACTTTACTGAGGCGGTGACCAAGTGTTTGGATGACGCTAGGGCAGTTGATATAGCTTATGCAGACTTCAACTGGGGAAACTGATAAAGAAGGCGAAAGTTCATGCAGTCCAGGGTAACTTGGCAAGGTGGACCCAAGGTTGGCTTAATAATAGGATTCAGAGGATGGTGATAGAAGACAGTTTGTGTGACTGGAGTCCGAGTGCAGTGGTGTACGACAGGATCAGTGTTTGGTCCCTTATTGTTTGTGATATTCATAAATGGTGCAAATTAGGAGGTCGCAAGGATGATAAGTTTGGCCTGGTGGTTGACAGTGAGAAGGAAGATGTTAGGTTATAGGAGAATATACATGGAATGGTCAGATAGGCAGTTCAATGGAGAATTTAACCCTGATAAGGGAGAGGCAATGCATTTTGGAAGAAGAAACAAGACAAGGGAGTACTCAACGAATGGCAAGACGCTAGGAAGCTCAGAGCAACAGGTGGCTTTTGGGGTGCTTGTCCACAGATCCCTGAAGGTGTCTGGACAGATTAATAGGGTAGTCAAGGTGGCATATGGGATATTTGCCATTATCAGCTGTGGCATAGATTACACGAGTAGAGAGGTCACATTGGAGTTGTACAGAACTTTAGTTAGGCCACAACTGAAGTACTGTGCACTTTTCTGGTTGCCAAATTATAGGATGAGATTGCACTGGATGGTGTGCAAAGGAGGTTCACTAGGAGGTTGCCTGGGATGGAGAACTTCAGCTAGGAAGACAGACTGGATAAGCCTGGGTTTGTTGGTTTTCTTTGGAGCACAGCATGCTAAAGGGAAGGCGGTGTGGTTGACAGAGATATATGAGATGGAGGGGCATGGACAGAGTGGGTTAGAAAACAATTGTCCCTCTCGGTTGAAGGGTCAGTAAACAAGAGGAAATTTTAAACAGTGAAAGGCAGGAGGTTCAGAGGGGATGAGAGAAACATCATTTTCACCCACAAGGTGGTAAGGGTGTGGAATGCATGGTGTAGGTGGGTAGTTGAAGCAGGAAACCTCGCAACCTTTAAAAAAAGTATTTGGCAGAGTACTTGGAAGTGTCATACATTCAAGGCTATGGGCCTAGTGCAGCAAAGTAGGATAAGTTTAGGTTGTTGTATATTTTTAATGGTACAAACTTGATGGGCCAAAGGGCCTCTTCTGCACTGTAAAATTCTGTGCTTTGGAGATAATGGTTATATTAGTTTTAATCTTACGGAATTCCCTAGATTAGCCACGGATAGGGAAGATCCTTATATTCAAGAAAGGAGGGAAGCAGACTGACAACTACAGGCCATTTAGTATGACATCAGTATTTGAAAACAAAAAAAAGAGTTTGTTATTAGGTTCATGGCTACTGGGCACCTGAAAAATAGGACTAGGCACACAGTGAATTTACTGTTTGCAAATGGAGTCTTTATGGCCGTAACTAATAGGGTGGATAAGGTTGGGTTGGGCAGAGACAGAGACAGAGAGCATGCAGTGTATTTGACGAGGCCAAAATGGACAATTCCCTTGATCTTCTCAGAAACCCTGAGCAGGCAGATAGGTGCTGGTTTAAAATCTCATTTAAAAAAGACAGCGACTCCAAAAGTGCAGTACTCCCAAAGTACTTAACTAACTACTTTGATCTTTGTGCTCAAGCTCTGAAGTAAAACCTGAACTTGGAGCTTCATGGTTCAGAACGGAGCCACAACTCACATTAAGGCAGAGCTTAATGGGACTTGGATACCAGGGCATTTAAAGGTTAGGGAGATCTTTGGAGGAGGAGGAGGAGGAGGGAGGAGGGAGGAGGGAGGAGGGAGGAGGGGAAGATTATTAAGCTGGAGGGGGTTCAGAAGAGATTTACCAGGATGTTGCCAGGTATGGAAGGTTTGAGTTATAAAGAAAGGGTGGATAAGCTAGAACTTTTTTCATTGGTGCATAAGAGGTTGACCTGAAAGAAGTTTATAAAATAAATGAGGAGTATAGATAGATTTAATGGAAGCTGTCTTTTCCCTAGGATCAGGGTTTTCAAGACTAGGGAGAGGAGAAAGATTTTAAAAAGGGGTAATTCTTTTTTTTAAAACACAAGAGTGGTTCACGTGTGGAATGAACTTCCTAAAGAGGTGGTGGGTGTGGGTACAATTACAGTGTTCATAAGACATTTGGATAAGTATATGAATAGAAAGATTTGGAGGGATATTAGCCGGAAGCAGGCAGACGGGACTAATTTAATTTGGGATTATGGTCTGCATGGACTGGTTGGACCGAAGTATCTGTTTCTGTGCTGTATGGCTATGTGGTACAAAAAAAAAGTCAGCATACAACTGCTCCCATTTCCTCGGTTCTTAAGGAAAAATGTTTGCAAGCTGAATTTCATTTTCAAAAGATCAGCCAAGGCTTCTGTCCACAAATAGAAGTGAAAAACATTATTGATTAACATTGAGTTTAGTTTGTAGTAACTTGAGAAATTAAGTAGCGCTGTAATGAAACATCATTGACCCTAAATATATTCAGACTTCAGAGTTTAATATTTTCTGCTTTTAAACTTGCAATGATTCCATAACAAAACACTACATTGTATATTGTTCTTTACTACTCAGACAATTTAACAGTTTATCATCCTTTTGAGCATTGAAGATTAGCATTTCTCGTGTTAATATGAAGATGAGAGACTGAGCACTGTAGAACGTTTATTTTGTTATTATGGCAAAATGGTTGCAGAATTATCTTGTAGAAAATTTGTAATGGAGTTTTAAGGTCCCTAATCAAAACCCTTCTCCAGTGTTTGGTTACTTGCAATCAAAGCAAAGTGCATTTTGGTAGTTAATCAAAGGTGAATAATGTCCAAATATTCAAAAATGAAATTAAAATGAAATTAAAAGAAATTGGGTGCAGGTCAATTTACAAACCTAAGCAATTGTTCTGTATGGGGTAACAGACTGACAAGACAAATTACGTGTATCTAATTTGGAAGCATCAAGGGCATGGAAAGAATATAAACTGCAGCTGGCAGTTATATTCAGGAGATTTCTTGTGTGCTCTAAAGTTAAAAGGACTCAGACACAGAAAATAACATTCCTTAAATTGGAAGAATTAGCATACTGTTACAGCCAGAGATCGAGACTGAAATCACCAATTCTCCTCTCTATCTGTCTGTAATCAGTGCAGCATAAATTTTGCTGAGGCTGATGTGTGCTTCCAAACCACCAGTGTGTCATTAAATTAAGAAACAGCCTTTCAGATTTAGAGAAGTATTAACTTGAGTAAGATAAAGGCCCATGGTGTTAGAGGCAAGGTGCTAGCATGGATAGAAGATTGACTGTCTGGCAGAAAGAAGAAAATGGGGATAAAATGGTCTTTCTCAGGATGGCAGCCGGTGACAAGTGGTGTTCCGCAAGGGTCAGTGTTGGGGCCACAACTTTTCACTTTGTACGTTAATGATCTAGATGAAGAAACTGAGGGCATTCTGGCTAAGTTTGCAGATGATACAAAGATAGGTAGAGGGACAGGTAGTATGGAGAAGGTGGGGAGGCTGCAGAAGGATTTGGACTGGGTAGGAGAGTGGGCAAAGAAGTGGCAGATGGAGTATAACGTGGGAAAGTGTGAGGACATGCACTTTGGTAAGAAGAGGAGGCATGGACTACTTTTTAAGTGAGGAGAAAATTCAGAAGTCTGAAGTGCAAAGAGACTTGGGAGTTCTAGTCCAGGATTCTCTCGAGGTAAACTTGCAGGTTGAGTCAGTAGTCAGGAAGGCAAATGCAATGTTGGCATTTATTTTGGCAGGACTTGAATATAAAAGCAGGGATGTACTACTGAGGCTTTAAAAGGCTCCGGTCAGGCAACATTTGGAGTATTGTGTGCAGTTTTGGGCCCCATATCTCAGGAAGGATGTACTGGCCCTGGAGCGGGTTCAGAGGTTCACGAGAACGGTCCCAGGAATGAAAAGCTTAACATATGAGGAACATTTGAGGACTCTGGGACTTTACTCATTGGAGTTTAGAAGGATGAGGGGGGGATCTAATTGAAACTTAGAGATACTGAATGGCCTGGACAGAGTGGATGTTGGGAAGATGTTTTCATTTGTAGGAGAGACTAGGGCACAGCCTTAGAGTAAAGGGAAGGCCTCTTACAGCAGAGATAAGGAGAAATTTCTTCAGCCAGTGAGTGGTGAATCTATGGAATTAACTGCCACAGAAGGCTGTGGAGGCCAGGTCATTGAGTACATTTAAGACTGAGATAGATAGGTTCTTGATTATCAAGGGGATCAGGGGTTATGGGGAGAAAACGGGAGAATGGGGTTTAGGAACTTATCAGCCATATTGAATGGTGGAGCAGACTTGATGGGCTGAATGGCCTAATTTCTGTTCCTATGTCTTGTAGTCACTCACTCACTCAACAATAATCTGCCGGTATTCAAATGCACAATGCACAACCAGAGAAAGATACAACTAAAGAACGGAGTGAATTGCCATCAAACGTTAAAATGAAACAGAATAGTTAACAATTCACATGTCTTTAAGATTCAAGTGAAGGACAGAGCCTTCCCTCTCTGGAACTGAAGTTCAGATGGCTAAGGTCAGAATTTAGATATATTGTAAGGTTCCCGTTCAGCAGTTGCTGGTAACTTGAGATCCAATACCTTTGCTGGCAAACTCGGGATTTTTCCGGACATGCTCACGATCTCTCACAATTCTTCAGGTGGCCAAATAACACAGCCTTTTCTCTGCTGTTGTGATCATACTGATGTTAGCTCGCCGACTGTCCAATAGAGGGGAGAGCTTTCCTCACTCTGAGTTTAAAGTGCAGCTAAATTCAGATGGTTGAGGTTAGAATCTGGGTGGCTTTGTTGGGTTCTTTTCATGTAAAATCTATTCATCAACTGCTGTGGACAGACCCCGGTAGTTCTTGTTACTGAAGGTCCACATTTCTTTGCAAGCAAAGTCAAAAATCATTTAAATGGGTTCAAGGAGATTTTATTTTTAAAAAGCCTGCAAGCCTCAGTTCTTGAAAAGGCCAGACAGCACAGCCTTTTCTCTGCAGTTGTGATGTTGTTGATGTTCATTTGGAGACTGCTTTGAAGCAGTCTGAGGTTTGTTATAAAGGGGATATCCAAATTACTTCAGCTTCGATCGCATCATGAATTGCCACTGATGCATAGTGCAAGATAATTGATAACCTTTCACAGTAACAGTGCAATTTCAATCATAAAGTCAAAAAACAACCGATATGATAGATAGGTGTCTTTAGAATTTCACTGTGGGTAACCAGATTTACCAGCCCTCATTTATACCCAGGTAGAGCCTGAGACAGAGAAACTTGAGGCTTATTGTCACTGTGCTTTGGAATAAACCTTGACAAGTACAGATATGAAATTTCTAGAAGCTTGAACACGCTCGCAGCTGCAAAATTCAGTCGACCTCACAGCAGCCATTTTAACTTCCAGTGTCTGTTTTTAAAAAAGGAATGCAGTTTGGAAGTGCTTTTAATACTCTCATACCTGCATGGGCATTGCAATTCTTTGGTTCAGTATTGAACTAAAAAAATTGCAAAAGCAAGAAAAACTACTGAGCCAACTGATATAATATACAAAGAAAATAAGCTGCTACTTTATGGGTGGAGTTTTTAATATGTAAGGCTTTCTTGTGTACCGCTAATCCATCAACAGCAATGTTACTAGCATTTCTTATTCACTATTTTAAACAAATTGACTAATTAAAATAGGTTACCTGTGATGAGGGCATCAGGCCTTGACTGTTCCTTCCTCCAGGCAGGCACAAACACAGTGATATCCTTATGGCTCCTTTCCAAAAACCAGTCCACTGCTAACTTTATGCCTCGACAAGAAAACACTTCCTTGTTACCATGACTGCAAAAAAAAAAATGAATCTTAAACCCCGATATTTAATAGCATTTTTTTCCCCAGTTATGGAAAATAAAAATCAGCAAATTAGAGGTAGTACTAGAAAAAGTGAATTAAATTATTAGGTCGAAAAGCATCTTTATATACTCAAACGTAAACATAGAAAATAAAGCACAGATAAAAGCAACAAGTTTCGTAATGGACTTTACAGCAGGCCGGGCAGCATCAGAGGAACAGGGAAACTGACATTTCGGGTCGGGACCCTTCTTCAGAAATCCTCTCTAAATCCATTGTTATTTCAGTTAAAAGCCAAGCCATTGCATTTAAACAGTATCACTACTGTGCATCAAACATTTGAAAGAGCTTGGAATCTAGCAACAATTCCAGATGATTTGTTTGATGAATTTCACTTCCCATTGCTAAAAACACATTGTCAAAGTTAAATGAAACATTAAAATGTGAAAGGGAGTGTGGAGTGAACATATCTCCAATACTCTTCCTCAACCTGGACCCCTATCATCTGGCTTCCTATGCCCTTGTCAGCAAGACATCAGCTGCCTTAATTTCTCTATTCCCCTCAACCACTTCCATCCAACACTCAGGTGTAACCCTGACTTTGTCATCAAACCTGCTGACAAGGGTTGTGCAACCTTTGCTGCTTTTACAGTCTTTATTAAAGTTTATTTTCCTCCCTCCAAATCTAAGATTAGAAAAAAACCCTCAGACCTGTAAAGACAGACAATTACCAATAGGTAAATAATAGCTGTTCTGAATATAATAATTTCAGCAAAAATTCAATTTGGGTTTGGTACTCTGCCTTCGTCAGTCGGTCTTAAATCTTCCTTTGGCTTTCAGCATCTATTTTAAAATCCTGTAGAATCTGATTGCACTTAAGTACACTTTGACAAATTAGGAAAAAAACCCAGAAGCTTTTCAAAAAAATTCTAATACACTAATAGCCTCTCAAATTCAAACTTTTTTTGTTTTTTTTTTTACATACAGCAAGGGCTAACTGTGTTAATTATTGACAGCTCAGAAAAAAAAAGCATGCTGCACAATGAAATGCATCCTTCGTGTGCATCAACAGCAGAGTTCACAAGACTGCAAAACTAAAATCAAAATTTTGTGGAAACTAGAATTGCACAGTTATAAGCTGATTCAAAATCATCCATCTGTGAAACTAATAATTTTCATATGTGGCAGTTAGAGACAAATATTGCAGGTGTAGTTAGTTATGGTCAGGATTCAAATAATAATTTTCATGTATCTATCTTCTAAGCTTTAGACATGAGAAGCCTAGTTAAATGGGCTAAGGTAATTATTCACGTTGTCACTTGTGAAATGGCTCAAAATAGTTTTTTTGTTGGTAGCAGAATGCTGTGCTTCCCTCTTCTACTGTACCATCATCCCTTGTAAGAAGCCTTACTTTAAACCAATGGTTCTGATTAGCAATTCAATATCCTATGGTACAGCCACCAAAGTCTAGTAAGCAAGGAGAAGCATATAATTTTTTCACTCACCTCATTGCCACATTACTACCATCAATTACCACAGGCTTTAGATTATCACCATCATCCACCAATTCTTCCACAGGAGAGTCAGATCTTTGAGAATCTGTTGAAATTGTATCACGTGGAGTCAAAATTGCAGGGTTACTTGTGCCACAGGAAGTATCAGAATCAAGTTTATTCCCCAGTTTAACAAGTTCACCTAGGATATCATTAGGAAGAGCGTCTGTTCCTAATTTATTCAGGACAAGCTGTACCTGCTCTTCTGAATATCCAAGTTTCAGTGCAAACTCCATTTTGGTTTTGTAGTCTTTATCATCATCAGTTGATCTTAAATCTTGTTTTGGTTTTGTTTCACCATCTAGTTTGAAATCCTGTAGAATCACATTGCATTTTAGTAGATTTGATTCTAAGCCTGGGGATCTACAAAGCTGTTGGTAAGCTTTATTTAAAGGACCAGCCCCTAACATGGCAATCCCCAATTGCTCCAATTCACTGTCTGAATCCAAGTTGTCTGAGTTTTGCATCATCCACTCCATAGCATTCTCTTTAGTAGAGTATCCTTTATCCATTGCTATATTTTCCACCATTGACCAAGATGTTACCACGTGTAGCGGTTTGTCAGTGCTTTCCACATTGAGATGTACAAGTCCCAGAACAATGTTGTTCTCATGCACAGAATGATCATTCAAACCCATGAACTTGTTGCTTGTATATGTTGTCAATCCTGAAGTTTTGCATGTTTGGATATGTAACAGGCTGTGTTTCTAAACAGTGGGAAATAGAAAGAATTACAAAATGGTTTGTTCATTCCCTGATGCAAATGTAAAGCTAATCAAATCATTTAAATTAGACAAATTAAGAACAGTTTTCTCCAACAGTTATTTCATTTCTTTCATTGCATTATGTACCCTGATGCAAGAAGTGTAGAGTTATATATCACTTTTGCCGGATCCTGGCCTTTTCAATGAATGTTTTAGTCCGGAGATTTGCACTGCATGGCAGTGAACAACTTGTTACATAGTAGGTATTCCTGTATCACTCTGGGGATTCAGACACATTTCCCCACTGGTGGGCACATCTTTAATGTTGAAGCAAATTATACACCTACAGGAGCTGCAATTAGAAGAGCCACACAACACAGTGCATTTATCTCTTTGTTGAGATTAGTCTTTTTTTTGTTGCTGCTTTTGGTATCAACACTGTCACTGCTTATCAAAATGAACAGTCTCCTACTTCAATACAATGGCATGTCATGGAGTGAATTAAGACAACATGCTTATTCCTGGCCCCGTCCAGAAAATCCTGACCTCTGCATTCCCAGTGCAAATGATGCCTAACTACTATGCAATAGCACGATGCAAATAAGCAGATGACGAAAAAAAGGAAATGCTTTTATGTGCTAGCATATACCAGCGCAATTACAGGAGCTGTACAAGTACTGCAGGTGTTCAGTTCAGAGCAAGAGGATGTTTTGCTTCAATAAACATCAAGTAAGGGAAAAACCTATGGTTGTTTACACGTTAGGAAACTAACAGAATTTCAAATTTATTAATTCACTCATCACACAATTAAACTAAATATAGTGTACTGGAACTTCAATTGTCATCAACTGACATTGTAATGACAATCCTTTTGAGGTTGCTCATAAACAAACCAGTAATTTAAATTATAGCTGTCAGTCAGAAAGTATTTTTGCTTATTTAGTGAATAAATAATTTCTAGGCCACAGTCAATTTATGTTGCAGGTACAACACCACTGCAGAGGTTTCTGTTTTGGATCTCCTTCGCAGTTTGGAGATGTTTTCTACATTAACCTATTCCAGGCATATTCTTGTACATGTCTGGAGAAGGCAGGACTTGAACCCACAATGCCTGGCCCAGAAGCAGGAACACTATCAATGCACCACAAGAGATCCAAGCAGTTTTTATACTTCAATTTAAAATGACATATCAGATTCTATTAGCAAGCAACCTTAAGACCATAAAAGAATCAGCTTGAAACTGAAGTCACTGGTGCTAATTCAAAGGCCATCAAGAATTTGCCAGTTTTGTGACATGGTTATATATTTCGCAATATTTAAAATAAGTTTCATAACAAGAGATTATATCTGAAATACAAAGGCATATTTTCCCCAAAGACAGCTAAATGAATTTAGTGTGTAACCAAGTAAAATCAATCAAACCACAGTGTATCCAGTAGCAACTGTGGTTGCAAAGTTTTGGAATACAACACGCACTTCTGGTCTCCCTGCTATAGGAAAGATGTTGATAAACTTGAAAGGGTGCAGAAAAGATTTACAAGGGCATTGCCGGGACTGGAGGATTTGAGCTCGAGGGAGAGGCTGAATAGACTGAGGCTATTTTCCCTGGAGAGTCAGAGGCTGAGGAGTGACCTTGTACAGGTTCATAAAATCATGAAAGGGATAGATATGGTGAATAGCCAAGGTCTTTTCCCCAGGGTAAGGGAGTCCAAAACTAGAGGGCATAGGTTTAAAAGGTGAGAGGGGAAAGATTTAAAAGCGACCTAAGGGGGAACTTTTTCACACAGAGGGTGATATGTGTATAGAATGAGCCGCCGGAGAAAGTGATGGAGGCTGGTACAATCACAACATTTAAAAGGCATCTGGATGGGTACATGAATAGGAAGGGTTTAGGGAGATATGGGCCAAATGCTAGCAAATGGGACTAGATTAATTTAGGATATCTGGTTGGCACAGAAGAGTTGGACTAAAGGATCAGTTTCCATGCTGTAAACTATGACTCCAAGAAAGTACAATAGCTAAATAAAAGCTAGAAGACTTTCACATTTAAATCAAACGATGTGCATTAACAGATTTCTTAAAATAGCTTCAATACCAAAAACAGTAGATAACATCAGTGGCAAATTAAAGCTTCTTCAAACAAGTAGAGTCTGCTTTGGTTGACTATAAAAATCAGCAATCTGAGTGCAAACTGCAGAGCCTTCTAATGTGATGAAATTCAAAGATTTACAGCATAAGAGAGGCCATTTGGCCCATTGTAACCCACACCTGACCAGCCGTACTAAAGCCTCCAGCTCTTGATTCAAAGTCTAGTGGGTTACAGGACCTCAAAAAGTGAGATTTACTGCCTCTATCAACTTTTTTGTACTGGCCTTTAAACACTAACTCATGAAAAAAGTAAATTTCTCATTTCAAACTCAATTCCCCTTGAAATAAAGGATCATGTTCCATAACATTTTGCTACAGTTGTGTACGGTATTGACAAGGTCATGCCTAGAGTACTACGTGCAGTTTTGGTCTTCTCATTTAATAAAGGATATAAGTGCATTAGATTTAGAGAAGGTTCATTTGGCGGATACCCGGAAAGGCTGGAATGTGTGCCTCTGTTCATTGCTGTTTGGAATAATGACAGGCAATCTTATTGAAACATATTAGAATTGGATGAGAATTGACAGGGTGAGTGTGTTCCTATCTATCCCCCTTATTATCTTATACATATCAATCACGTTGCCTCTCAGTCTCCTCGAAGCAAGGAGGACAGTCTAAGTTTATCCAATTCTTTTTCACAATTAAAACTATCCAACCCAAGCAACATCTTGGTAAATCTCCTCTGCTCCTTCTCCAGTGCAATCAGACCCCTCCTACAAAGGTAAATTCCAGAAATGCGCACACAATTCTCTAGCTCAGCCCAAGGCTCCTAATCTCCAAATTCTACCTCACCAACTTTAACTTTTGCCAATCCTCCCTGACACTACACTGCCATATTTGAAATCAGGATCGGTGAGTTGTAATGAGCACCAGTAGGGTGGTAGCCTCGACAGCGTATCTTGATGCATGCAGACCGAAGCAGCCGAACAGCCACTTTTGAATAAGTAGGTTTGCACCGGAGTGAGCATGACTTCTTCAGTAAACAGGTGGTTAAATAGAAACAGTAAAGTCTCAGGTCAACTTGTACATGAGATCTACTATTACTCATGTAATATGTTAGCTTGATATTTGCTGTTTAAACTTCAAGGGATTTTACATGGGATTTTTAATTAAGAGTCAAATGTTTTGGTCATGTTTCAAGGGATCAAAGGTTATGGGGAAAAAGCAGAATTAGACGGAGTTGGACGATCAGCCATGATTGTGAAGAATGGTGGTGCAAGCTCGAAGGACTGAATGGCCTCCTCCTGCTCCTACTTTTGTTTGTTTGTGAACGCATTAAAGAATTTGGTGGTGCTTTTGACATTTTTCTTGCATTTGCCTGACAGATCATGTCAGAGATTCCTCTTGAATGTGTAAATTTGTACTGTGTCTTTGGGAGGAGACTGCACCAGCGACAAGGAAAAAACAATTCAGGAGAATGCATTATGTAGAGCTGAATGAACACAGCAGGCCAAGCAGTAT